AAGCGTGAAGCTACGTGTAGAGGTGTTGTACTATTGAAGATAGTCTGATTCACAGAGGCGCCATATTGGAGAAGAAATTCTGCACATTCAACATGATTGTGGGCTGCTGCCACATGTAATGGCGTAACGCCGCCAGCAGTACAATTCACACTAACTCCAGCCTTACATAACTCTTGAGTTTCACTCAAACAACCCTTCCGAACAGCTTTGACTAGATCTTGTAAGCGAACGAAGCGTCCACTTCTTACTCTTTCGGACATATTTTTGTTTACGACTTCTCCAACACCCACCCCTCCCCTCTTAATTTTACCGCTGACTTTGTTTGCTGGCTCACAATCACAAATACAAGATGGTGGAAGGTTTGTATTGAATGATCTTTCAGCTTGTCTTTGAGTTTCTTCCATGTTTAAATGTTAAATCATTGTTTTTTTATAACTAAAATGATAGTTGATCCTTTGCTCATTTGTTTAGGAGACTCTAAAAGTAGTAGTAGCGGAGTTATCTTAAAATTTAAAGACGAAGAAACTTCGCCTGACAGCTTTTATGAATATCCTTCAAGCGTTCGAGATGGCAAAGTTCCACTTATCATTGATAATGGTATGGGATAAAGCTTACTGAATATACATTTATTGTGAGAATACGGCTCATAAAAACCCCGCACATTCTTTTTCTGTGTATGTGATACTATTGCTGTCCATGTACCACAGGTAACCCAGTCAGGATCAACAACATGTGATATCCGATTATGGGTTACCTGTGATCATAAGTGCACTGAAGTGGCACCATCACTAGTTATTGAAGAAAGTCATCTATGTACAGATATGTTACCTTCATTTTTACAAATACAATAACCATTTTCCCCGTCTCTTATCTCTGTACTTCAGCTATGCATGCCTGTCTAAATTTCGGTACTGAATGCATAAGACTTTCTTAGTATTAACCACCTAATATTCTCATTTATTGTCTGGCCATGGCTGAGTTATTGTTTGCCTGACTGTCCTTTGTACGCTGTCCAATGTAGGTGGTTATCAGTGTCGGGTAGGATGGGCTACAGACAGTGCTCCAAAACTTGTATTTAGAAACCTTGTTGCTAAGTCAAGGGGTAGAAAGGTAAGATTGACTTGTTGCTATGTCAACCACATTACAATAGAAGTCATCAATGCAAATCCATGGTGTCATGGACTGCGGAGCAAGGGTGACTGGGGGCTACAGCCCCCCCAATAATTTTTCCGATATTTTGAATTTTCTTAAATAAAGAAGCGAAGAGCCTCCTCATATATATTTTATAAAAATTGTGTAAAAACTGAGCGTGAACAACAATTAAAACTGAAGCTTTTTTGCCAAGTCTTTGTGATTTATTGATAATATCGCTGACCGTTTGTGCAGTAAAAATTGATAATGCCTCAAAACGCTGGAAATGACATTTCCGAGAGTTAAGATTTCAAAAATTTCCGAACCCCCCTAATACCTCCTCACCGCTAGCCCCTGTAAACAAATTCACGCTCTGCGGTCCCTGGGGGTTGCTATTCAGACATACTCTCAAGTTGTTTGTTTTGAGAAAACTGTCATCAAGAATAGACTCTTGACCAGTTATGGAAATAACTCTACATAATCTCAACCCACTCTCCCCTCCCCCTCAACTTAGAGGCTACAGACTGGATTAATCAAGACTGAAGAGATTATAAGGATAAAAGCCAGATGTAACTGGCTGTAATAAGCAACTAAAGTCCTTGTATTATTATTACTTAGGGAGAGCCAGACTCCGGTGGTATTGCTGTAGGTAATGACATTGGAACTATTGAGATGTTGAGATGGTCAGTCAAGACACAGTTTGACAGAGATGTGGTCACACATTATGAATGCCAGGTAATAACTGGAAACGATTATAAGGTTTATAGCAATACTTCACATGATKCAAGTCTTTGTTACTGTATTCTTGTACCAAAAAGAACACAAGTCAATAAAAAAAGGTAGTTGTGTCATTGCATTGAAGAAACTTCAGCATGCAGTTATAGAAACCTTTTTTCGTACCTACAGACAATTATTCACAGGTATCTATTATTGCACACTTCCTGGTCATTCTTCTTCAATGCAATGGCATGGGTACATGTACCTTATAAAATGGCACAGGAAAAATGTCTGAAAATAATCTATTTTATCTTTTCTTAGGAACAAGTTTTGGATCATGCCTTCAGTCATCTTAGCATCAATACACCAGGGGCTGTAAACCATCCCATAGTAATGACTGAACCAGTTTGCAATCCAAACTACTGCAGACAGTGTATGTACATTAATAGGCAATGTGCAGGGACGTCATGTTGTACAGCAAAGCATGATGGGAATTATAGTACTCACATTTTTCACTGTAGATCCTAAATTTTTTATAGTTTTGTTTTTATAGAAACACCACACAGGGTTTGTGCTACTCCTTGAAGTACTTGAAAAGTCCTGGAATTGAAAACTTGTTTTCAAGTGCAATTAATAGCTCTTGAAAATGGGGAACATCACTGAAACTCCTGGAAAACTCTTTGAATCTGACATGTTGCTTGTTATAGCTTTTGAATTGAAATGTGGCTATTTTTGAAAATCGTCTGCAAACATCAAAAAATATCTTCCAAAATATTCCTTGAAAATCGAATTTTTGTTTTAAAAAGTATTTGAAAAGTCCTGGAATTTTGTGGTGAAAATGTACTAGTAGCATGAACCCTGAGCACAACCAATTTAACATCTTTGTGCAGGAAAAAGGCATTCCATCCCATTCACCCATTTATTCTCTCATTCCAGTGATGTCAGAGCTTCTGTTTGAGTGCTACCATGTTCCATCCATAGCYTATGGCATAGACAGTCTATTTAGCCTGTACAATAATTGTTCATATACARGTAAGTACATTTCTACTGCAACTGTAAATATCTCTTGTTATTTSATTCAACAATGGTATTATTTTTATCTATTTTAGCATCATTAAACACCCTCATTGTATCGTCTGGTTATCAAGTCAGCCATGTTCTTCCYATAGTCAATGGAAGGCTTGATGCTCAAAACTGCAAAAGGTGGGCTTCCTGTTCTATTAACAAAATGTTCACAGTAATACTGTACACATTAAAACCAGTACAGTATTAGCATATGTTTGGTGGGAACTAGCAGTAAACTAGTGTGAGCTGCGTCGGTGTTTCTAAAGAAACAGTTGTGTAAAATTAACATCCGAAACGTCAGTAAGTTATTTCCCATACTTTTTTTTACGGTGTTAAACTTATCTTTTTTACACAACTGTTAGCATATGTTTGTTTTATAGTTTAGAAGACCATCTATTGCCTGGTCATTGTTTTTTAAACCAATCGCAAAATCTGTTCTGATTGGTGCAGGCTGTCCCATTGTTTCCTTCATAACAAAATGAAACCCAACTTGAGGAAGTTAATTATAGATGTTATTAAATCATATTAGGATTAATTTGGGAGGTGCAAGTATTGCGTGGTACATGCAGAGGTTAATACAGTTGAAGCACCCCACTCATGCAGCACAGATAACTCTAGCAAGGGCACAGGTGAATTGATTTCTATTTTATCATTTCATTATTTTATTT